GGCTCCGCTCTCAGCAGTCTGCTTGTCCCTCTCCCTCTGCTCCTCCTCCCACTTGTGTGCTTGCTCTCTCTCTCTCTCTCTCTCCCTCAAATAAATAAATAAAATCTAGGGGATCCCTGGGTGGCTCAACGGTTTAGCGCCTGCCTTCAGCCCAAGGCATGATCCTGGAGTCCCAGGATCGAGTCCCGCATCGGGCTCCCTACATGGAGCCTGCTTCTCCCTCTGCCTGTGTCTCTGCCTCTCTCTGTGTGTGTGTGTCTCATGAATAAATAAATAAAATATTGAAAAAAAAATAAAATCTAAAAACATCTTTAAAAAAAGATTAAACAAGGGCACCTGGGTGGTGCAGTTGGTTGGACATCCAACTCCTGGTTTCCGCTCAGGTTTTGAGCTCAGGATCGTGAGATGGAGTCCCGTATCAGGCTTTGCACTCAGTGTGGAATTTGCTTGGGATTCTCTCTCCCTCTCCCTCTGCCCCTCCCACTCATGCGCTCGTGCTCTCTCTCTTTCTCTCTCTCTCTCTCTCTCTCTCTCTCTCAAAACTAAATAAATAGGGGATCCCTGGGTGGCTCAGCAGTTTAGCGCCTGCCTTTGGGCCAGGGCATGGTCCTGGAGTCCCGGGATCAAGTCCCGTGTCAGGCTCCTGGCATGGAACCTGCTTCCCCCTCTGCCTGTATCTCTGACTGCCCCCACCCCTCTCTGTGTCTGTCATGAATATATAAATTTTAAAAATCTTAAAAAAAAAAACTAAATAGGGCACCCCTGGTGGCTCAGCAGTTTAGTGCTGCCTTCAGCCCAGGGCGTGATCCTGGGGACCCGGGATGGAGTTCCATGTCGGGCTCCCTGCATAGAGCCTGCTTCTCCCTCTGCCTGTGTCTCTGCCTCTCTCTCTCTCTCTGTGTGTGTGTGTGTGTGTGTGTGTGTGTCTCATGAATAAATAAAATATTTCAAAAAAATAAAAAACCTAACTAAATCTTTTAAAAAATTTTAAACAGAATTACTATATGATCCAGAAATTCCACTCCTATATATACAACCAAGAGAAATAAAAATATATGTCCATACAAAAACTTATACATAAATATTCATAGCAGCATTAGTCATAAGAGCTAAGAAGTAGAAACAGTCCCACTGTCCATTTAGAGATAAATGAATAAACAAAATGTGTATACCCATACAATTGAACATTATTTGGCCATAAAAAGGAATGAAGTACTAACACATGGTCAAACAGGAATGAATCTTGAAATCCTTATGCTAAGGGAAGGAAGCCAGTTACAAAAGACCACATATTGTATGATTCCATTTATATGAAAGGTCCAGAATAGGCAAATCCACAGAAACAGAAAATAGACTGGTGGTTGCCTGGGTGGGGTGGTGGGGTGGTGGGGCCCTGGGGGAACAGACACAGGGTTTCTTTTGGGGATGATGAATATGTTTTAAAACTGGAGTGTGATAATGGATGCACAACTCTGAGTATACCAAAAAACACTGAATTGTACACTTTTAAATGGGTGAATTGTGTGGTATGTTAATTATATTTCAGTAAGTTACCAAAAAAGAAAATATCAACTGACAAAAATTTTGTACTAAATAGGAACCCAGCATTTACAAATGTAAAGAATTCCCCAGGAAAGCCTTTGCAACAAAGAAGCCACAATCTCAGCCCAGAACTGCACCAAGTCAGAGCCCACAGAACAAGAGGGTGATCAGCAAATCAGAGGAAGCCAGACCTGAGGAGACCAGAGGATGGATTATGTGATACAGAGGCTAGGTGTTATGGTCAGGTTTTCAATAAGGAGGAGCTAGAAGTGGATAAAGAATCTCACTATTTCCTATATCATTAACCTACTTTTACTTCATGAATACAATGTATTTTTTTTCACACACACAAAAGATTAAATAAACCAACAGGGGAGTAAGGGCATTTATAAAGGTATAAGGACAAAGGTCAACCATAAGAACAAAAATACAAAAACTTGCTAAATGCCACCCCCCCAATTTTTTTAATAAAAGAGCAAAAAAATATACCTCATAGCCAGCAATGAAAAGAAATAGCAAATATAACAAAATATTATGATAAAGTTTGAGGCCAAATATATCAGTCCTAATAATAAATGTGAATGGGCTTAACTCACCTAACAGGTTTATTATAATAAAAAGCTTCAATTTGGCTCGTAAAACAAAACTCAAGGAGTCGTACAAAAGACACATCTAAAGCAAAGTGATGTTGAAACATTAAAAATGAAAAGATGGCCAAAAATGAAAGGCAATTGGTAACAAAAGGAGAGCAGGGTGGCATTTCTGGGATTAGGCAAAGAATTCAAACCCCAAAGCATTCATCATGACCAAAAAAACAAAGACAAAAACAACAGATTTTAATGCTGAAAGCCATAATCTATGATTTAGACAGAACATACAAAAATACACATATTTACATAAATATAACATAGGAACCACCTTTATGAAACAAAAACTACTTGAGATGCAAGGAGACAGTTATAAACACACTAGTAACAGGAGTCTTTATGCACTCCTAGTGGTATATTAGACAATTCAGTGGTCCAAAAATAAGGAGATAGATCTAAACAGCATAATCAATAGAATAATCTTAAGGATATTTATCAAACTCTACGCTCTGATACTAGAGAGTATACACATTCGTCTCTCGTGCCCATGTCACATTCACCAAAAGTACTCATATTAAATCACAAAGAAAACATCAGTGACTGCCATGAATAGAAATATTACAAATATCCTCTGATCATAATGTAATAAAGCCAGGATTTACTAATAAAAATAACAGAAAAGCTCTTCTACCTAGGAATTTAAAAACTTCCTATTAAATAACTGAGTATCTTATAACTGAAATTATAGATTTTTAAAGAAATAATGACGAGCACTACATAGCACATTCTCTGGGATACATTTAAAGCAATGAATAAAGGGAAATTTGTTGCTCTAAACATATTTATCAATAAAAATGAAATAATGCAAATAAGTTCATTTCCAAGGCTTAAAAAAACCTAAAAAAAAAAAAAACCAAGGTAAACCAAAAGAAAGCACAAGGAAGGAAATAATAAAGATAAAAACAGAGGATGAGAATAGAAAACTAGATCTAAGTAATAATATAAAATTCTGTAGTTTTTGAAACAATAAAATATATAAGCCACTAGATAATGTGATTAAGAAAAAAGGGGGGGGAAACAAATATACAAAAATAAGACAGAGGGAGAAACCAACCGTTGAAATAGAAGAAAAAATTTTAAATCATGAGAGATTACTGTGTAGCTCTCTACCTACAAAATTTGAAAACCCAGATGAAAGAGATAATTTGCTAGAAAAATACACAGTACCAAAATTTACCCCATTAGAGTCAGAAAGCTTAAACAGCTAAGCAAAATAAGTCAATTAGAGAAAGATAAATACCATATAATTTCATTTATATGTAGAATTCAGTAAACAAAATAGATGAACATATAGGAAGGGGGGAAAAAGGAGAGAGAGAGGGAAGCAAACCATAAGAGACTCCTGACAATAGAGAACAAACTGAGGGTTGATGGAGAAAGGTGGGTGGGGGGGTGGGTTAAAGGGGCCGTGGGTATTAAGGAGGGCACTTGTGATGAGCACTGGGTATTATATATAAGTGATAAATCACTGAATTTATTCCCGAAACCAAAAAATAAATTAAGTAACAAACTTTAGTTTTTACAGCCTAGAAAAAAGGAAAGCTTAAACAGACCAATTTTCATAGAAGAAATAAGGAAATATCCCTGAAAAAGCATCAGGCCCAGATGGTTTCACAGGATAATTCCACCAAACCTTCAAACACCAGATAGTCTCAATGCTCTATAAATCATTCCACACCTCGTGTATCATGAAAAGGACCAAGCCTATAAGAACATCAACTTTTTAAGGAAGACGAACCAGCCAAGGAGATAGAGAAGAAACATCCTTTGAGGAAGGAGAGAAGCTTAGAGCATAGAATCTCATAAACTAAAGAATATTTCAATATTTCAAGAAAGGAGACTAATGGCAAAAGCTACATAGGGATCCACATGGCTACAGAACTAAGTGGAAGGGAAGGAGACTTAAGAAAGCCAATTATTAATGAGTCCTTCTAGGGGCACCTGACTGGCTCAGTCGGTGTACCATGTGACTCTTGATCTCGGGGTTGCAAGTTCGAGCCCCATGTTGGGTACAGAGATTATTTTAAAATAAAATCTTTAAAAACAAAACAAGACAAACCCAACTCCTAACAGGCTGATTGGAAGAGGAAAAAGAAACTGGGTTGTGGCTGGGTAACAGCAGTCTAGGGAGGAGGTTTATTGTTGATAAGGAGGGACTATGTGCCTGGCACCAGAGATATTACACAGAATGACAGACATAGTAGAGATGAACCTAGGTCCAATTAATTGTTTCCTTTAATTCCTTAATGCAAACTCCAAATAAAGTAGTTAATTTCTCTCAGTATCCCACATTTACATATTACCTTCAATGGTCCATACTGAGTTTTTATCAGCAGTCATATTTTATGTTAATTTATTTTTTTAATAAATTTATTTTTATTGGTGTTCAATTTGCCAACATATAGAATAACACCCAGTGCTCATCCCATCAAGTGCCCCCCTCAGTGCCCGTCACCCAGTCACCCTATTTTATGTTAATTTAGCAAGCATTACTAAGTGCTAATGACTAGTAGGAGGGAGGCACACAAAGTTGCAAAGGAACTAGTTTCTTTTTCCTCAAGATGCTAAGTTTTCAGTGGATAAGAATGAACATGAGTGCTAGTATTTATTGGTTCACTAAGCGTCTTGCAAATAATATCTCATTTAATCCTCACAACAAACCTCAAGGAAGTTGGAATTAACCTCCATTTCATAGGTGGAAAAAAAAAAGCCTCAAAAAAGTTAACCAATCTGCCCCAAGTGAAGGACCTGAAACCAGAATCCAGATTCTCAGACTCAAATACTAACATTTCCCCAACTCGCAATTCCTACCTTCAGAAAGATGACCCTGAAGAGACTGCCTGGTCATTTGTGCAGATGCTCGGTCAGCAGAATTGGACTTTAGCACACTTGAGAATAGTTGACATCCTGCATCACATCTAAAATTGCCGTCTAAATTTGGAAAGCAGCTTTAGCTGCCTGAGCATTCTGTAGCTGTAGGGCACAAAGACTATGTTTTATTTATCACAATTTCACGGATTATATTTTATTTAGCTTTATATTTGTCCCCCTCAGCTTTATATACAGTGTCTTTAAATATATGCTCTTTCAATATTTGTGCAGATGCATCCATTCATTTACCTAATTTCATAACTGAGAGCATTCTGAATATAATCTAGAATAAAAGTAAAAAAAAACCTTCAAATTTAATAAATGAAAGAGTGTGGGGCAAAGGTATCACAGAATGGCTTTTATGAATTCAGAAATCTACTTTAAAAAATCAACATGCTTTTGTGCTCTGAAATTTTTACAATATGGCAATAATTGGCAACAAGACAAAGTATGTTTAAATGCACCTCCCATAAATCCCATTCGACCCTTAAATAACCACCCTGTAAGAAAGGTAAGGCAAATGCACCATAATAGCTAGTCTAGAGTTGAGGAAATTGTCCCTTAGAAAAGATAAGTGATTTGTTTAAGGAATCAGAGATACTGGATTTCAAGGAACCCCTGAGTTCAAATCTCTTGTCCACTCTATGATGCCTTTGCCTCACCTGGATAACACTTCCTTACTAAACCAGTAAAATGGAATAAAAGATGAGAAACCGAATTGCTATCAATGAATTTTTTAAAAAGTGAGTTAGAGAATGCTAATGGTACTTGGTTGGAGAGAACATAAATGGCCCAAAAGTGATCCTGTAGAAATCCTTTAAATGTTGCCTTTTGCTAGGGTGTAGAAAAAGATACTCACAGATTGTTGGTGGGAGTGCAAAATAGCACATCCCTTCCAGAGGGAAACTGAGCAATTTACATTTAAAAAAAAACAAACCCAACAATTCTATAATCTAGGAGTGTACACTAGACGTAATCACGGGTGTGCAGATTTTACATTTCTTCAATAATGTATTTAAGTAGTGAAAATGGAATAACCAACTAAATAAATCATTACAGCCATGTAATGGCATGCTATGAAGTCAGAAAAAAAATGGTCACAAAAGAGAATCCACTTTAGAAAAATCCATACATTCATATCTGCACAAAAAGAGAATGGAGATATATACGCAGTAACCATATTCATAATGGTTACCTGAACTGGTGAAACTATCTTCTTCATATGGTTTTGCGTATTCTAAAAATTTTGTTAATAAATATATTATTAAACGTTTCTATATAAAATATTTCTAAAAAGACCTTTAAAGGGGGGAGCTGTGAAACAACAGCAGGGGCTTTCAACAGAACGTTTTAGTAGCCGTTTTAAAAGTACCATTAAAAAATAACCCTTAATAAACATTGCTATATCATAACAATTAAAATACCATTGAAAAATAAAGCACTCATTATGAATCCCCACCAAAATCTTTTCTTCCCAAAGTCTCATTCATCCCAGTTCTCTTTCAGGAAAATCCTAAAAAGGTTGCTGGGCCAGAAGTCTGACAGACCTTCGAGATTCCTACCTGTGGTTTTTACTTTGTGACAGAAAAGAAAAGCGATCACCTAGGAGGCAGCTCAAAAAGGACCCCGGCAGGAAAATATTTGGGAGAATAAGTTTCTCTCCGGTTTCTTTTCCTCCTGATTTACCGACAGGACAATCCTGACAGTGACTGGCCCAGTTTCCTAATACACCTTAGAAAGAGCACACGGAGATGCGGCAAATTTCAAGATACGTTTCTAAAAACACAAGTTTTACTTTGTAAAGCAGGATAAAGAGCATCCTTCACGACTCCTTCTGGACGCTACCAGAAGAAGATGCCGCTGCGCGGCAGGAGAGCCTCCGGAGGACAAAGCAGGGTCTCCTCGGCTCGGGTTTCTCAGGCTAAGCGTCCAGGTTCGCCTCAGGGACAAGGGCACCATCCCTCAACACCAACCCCCTGTCCCCATGACAGTCGCCCCGAAACGTCGAGGCCCCAGGCTGCCGGACGACGGGGAAGGATTAGGGCCACGGCAGCAGGTGCTCAGGTCGCCGCGCCCGAGATGGCACTGTCCCAGTGGCCTGGGGCGGTGGGAGGGGAGTGGTCCCCAGGGAGTCCAAGACCAGCCGGAGCATCCTCCCCACAGCCCTCCCCGCCGCCCCAAGACCGCCCCTCCCGGGCGACGGACACGCCCTCCCTGCGGGCCGGGGCCTCCTCGCCCCGCCCGCCCCCCAGGACCGCTCACCCGGCCGGGAAGTCACTGCCGCCGCCGCCAGCCCCTCAGCCGCCGCCGCCGCCGCCGCCGCCCCGCCGCCAGCCCCTCGGGCCTCGCCCCTCACACGGCCGCCAGCTGCCACAGCAGAGGCACCACAGCTACCACCGCCGGGCCACGGGACCCGGAACCACTTCCTTCCGGAACCGCCTCGCCCCGCCCCCCACCCCGGACCCGCCCACTGTCCGCGGCTCGCCCTGGCCCGCTCTTCCACCGACCCCTGCTCTCAACTCCTTCCCCGCGAGGGTGCCCCGCCTGGGCTGCTCCGGCCAGAGCGCCTGCGCCCTCTGCCGGGCATTCCCACCTCTGCCGTTCTGTCCAGGGCGCATGCGCCGTCTGTTGCCAGTCCGCCGTAGGGGGCGGGGTGGGGGGGAAGCAATGAACGAGGCTTTCCAGGACCTGGGTGGGATCCAGGGGGTTGGAGCTCATCCCTCAGCCAGCGCCAGGAGCTTGGTCCCAGGGCCTTCCAGCCTTGCACACAGTAGGCAAAGGTGGCGGGGCAGATGAGCCCCAGCTTTCCAGCTCCTGCCTTGGCCCTCGAGGCCCTTCCAAAGCCAGCCCACCTTCATTTGTACCTCTGTAGCCTCTCCCTGCCTGCACAATCTCTAACCATTCTCATGGCCTCAAATTAATTTTCCACCCAGAAAACGAACCCCCCCCCGGAACTCCCAAATAGGTTAACGGTACCAACATCTCCCCACCATCCAATTCAAAATACTGACTCATTTTCGTTTGCTCTTTTGATTTCTCTCCTCCCCCATTCCATCCATCTGCCCCAAAGGTACTTATCTCCTCACTCTTGGAGCTTCCTCACTCGACACTTTAATTTTTTTTTTTTTTTACCCCTTGCAAGATTTCTCTTTCAGAGTCCACCTCATCTGGTCGTATCATCTTTTACCCTCCCGTGTCACTGTCAGCTGATTGCGTTAGAATTTTCCTCTCCATCTGAATTGAATTACAGCCATCATCCCAATGAGTCCAGCACCCATGATTGAGCCACGTTTCCTTAATTTCCTCAACCCAGATGACTTCACCTCTACTTTATCCACCCATTCCCAGGCACATATTCTAGAAAATCTAGACATTCATCACTTTATACTGCTCCATCTCTAAAACCTTAAGTGTCCAATTTCTGTTTATTTGGACTCACATCCTCATCCTTGCAGTCCTATCTCTCCCTTATTCCCAGTGTACTTGTTCTTCAAAGACCAGACAGTTCTCACATCCCCTGAATCTTCTCCCTGACTTAAGTTCATGGCTTTTAACTTCAATCACTCTTCTAAGCAGAACCTCTGGAATTGTCCTTTGACACATCAAAATGATCAAACGACCACCTTTAAACACTCCAGTTATCTGCATTTTCCATGTCTACATCTGTATTTTCAAGTACTGCTTGGGAAGAAAAAGGTCACACAACTATAACAGAATGATGTCACTACAAGTTTATGGATACCCGCTAGAACCTTGGTACCTCTTCTATGTGACCTCTCTCATTTCCAATAATTGCTGTTATCAACTCTTACCACTCTCTTTAAGCCCCACAGCAATGATCATTTTCCGCTCTTTATACATGATATTGCTTCCTGCTTCCCGAAGTCCTCAGCATAATATATAAGGCCTTTCATTATCTGGTTCATACTTCACCTCTCTAGCCTTCTGCTCACTTGTACTCAGTGTTCTGGCTGTACTGAAGTGTTGCAGCTTAAGACAAAAACTGCTTTTGCTTCCACTCCATTGCACGTACTGTCCCATCTGCCTGATTAGGAGGTGTGAGACCTTTTTATCTGCATATATATGGCTTCGGTTCAGGAAGGTTTTCTTCTACCTTCAAGAACTGTTTCTGCTCCATTTGTTCTGGTCTTTTACGAAAAGCAATTATCTGTGGTGGTTCTCTGTTTTACCATTTTTAAAAAAGATTTTATTTATTCATTCATAAGAGACACAGAGAAAAAGAGGCAGAGGCAGAGGGAGAAGCAGGCTCCATGCAGGAAACCCAATGCGGGACCTGATCTCGGGACTCTGGGATCACACTCTAACCAAAGGTTCAGCTCAACCGCTGGGCCACCCAGGCGTCCCTCTGTTTTATCATTTTTGTCTCTTTATCCTTTTTTTGGCATCCTGTACAACTCAAATTTGCTTTCAATATTACTGATAAGGTTTCCCAAAGCATTATTTTTGCTTCTGTTTTTACTTAAATTGTTATTGAGATTTTAGTTTCTTTGCTTCATTCCTTCTCTCTCTCTCAAATTGTCCTATTGACTGCATTTCATCTTAACTTCTTGCAAAAGGATGCTAACCTGGTGATAAATTTTTCCTTTTGAATTCTGTAGTCAATAATTTTCATAAATATGCTCTTCTCTCCCTTCTGTGATTAGTTTTTGTGTACTTTATTATGTAGAAATAGATATTCTTTGAATCATCTTTGAACAAGGTGATCTTTGTTCAGATTGATTGGCTAACAGCACAAGCAGATGGCCCTCACACTATTTGCTATTCACTTTGTGGACAGAGAGGGTAAGTCGCTTGCACAAGGTCACATAGCTCTTGCTGTGTATATATACATGCACCCACACACAAAACAAGCTAACAAAAATAGGTTATTATCTACCTTTCCATTTATTTTTTTCTTTGCAAAGCCAAATCTGCTACTGAATGCTGAGTATGTTTAATACAAGGATTCTGTGTTAGTAATAACAAATTAGGGGATCCCTGGGTGGCGCAGTGGTTTGGCGCCTGCCTTTGGCCCAGGGCACGATCCTGGAGACCCGGGATCGAATCCCACGTCGGGCTCCCGGTGCATGGAGCCTGCTTATCCCTCTGCCTGTGTCTCTGCCTCTCTCTCTCTCTCTCTCTGTGTGTGTGTGTGTGTGTGTGTGACTATCATAAATAAAAAACAAATAAGGGAAAAATAAATAAATAAAATAAATAAATAAAAAAAGTAATAACAAATTATGCTCCAATAACAATCCCCAAATCTGAGTGGCTTATAACAACAAATATTTATTTCTTGCGTACATTTCAAGTCCATCAAGGGTCAGCTTTGATGCTTCTGTCTGGGAGCGAGGCTGAAGGAACAGACTTGAAGGAACAGGCCCTCTCTGACATATTACTGCTGTCACATTAGAAGGAAAGGAACAAGAGTGGGACCATGCACTAGATCTTAAAACTTCTGCTTCACTCATACGTGGAATATAAGAAACAGTGAAAGGGATTATAAGGGAAAGGAGGGGAACTGAGTGGGAAAAATTAGAGAGGGAGACAAACCATGAGAGACTCCTAACTCTGGGAAATAAACAGGGTTGCAGAAGGGGAGGTGGGTGAGAGAGTGGGGTGACTGGGTGATGGGATGAGCCCTGGGTGTTATACTATATGTTGGCAAATTGAATTTGAAAAAAGGGGGGGATCCCTGGGTGGCACAGCAGTTTAGCACCTGCCTTTGGCCCAGGGCACGATCCTGGAGATCCAGGATTGAATCCCACGTCGGGTTCCCGGTGCATGGAGCTTGCTTCTCCCTCTGCCTGTGTCTCTGCCTCTCTCTCTCTCACTGTGTGCCTATCATAAGTAAATAAAAATTTTAAAAAAAGATTTAAAAAATAAAAAAAACAAAAACAAAAAAACAACTTCTGCTTCAAAGCTGAATCAGAACCTCTGGGGGTGTGGCTCAGTATAGTTTCGACAAGCGCCTCCCAGAGATTCTGAAGCACTCTCAGGTTTGAGAACCACTTCTCTAAAATGTGTATTCCCTGTAAACCAGAAGATGGACATAGAGGCTTGTTGAAATTCATGGTAGTTTTTTTAAAATTTATTTTATTGCTATTGCAACTACCTTCATAGTAGTTTTTAGACTACTAATTCTGAAACCAGAAAAAAAAGTCAAATTAAAAAAAAAAGACTCAGGTATTGATACAGACTTAGACCAAGTGCCCACTGTATTGTCATTTTTTTGGAGGGACACTGCTTCTGGGGAAAACTGCCAGCTGCCCTTCTATACAGCTTTCTTTTTAAAATGCTAATGTGAGAATTAGATAATTAGAAATAAGTAGGACAAATAGCTTTCTCATCCCTTGACAATGCTGTTGGCCCAGATTTTTCTCATAGTTTTTGTATAGATGGTTTGTATTGTGTTGGTCATGCCTTCAGCAACTACATTAGTCCTTATAACCCAGGACTCCCAAAACCAGGTGAGTTTTCTCTTTTCTTAACTGACTTTGGGTTGCTTAATACTGTAAATGAAATTCGATGTATAATGCTTACCTGGCCCTGTTTCCTCCTCGTTTTCTTCCATCCCATGAGATAGGCTCTGTGTGTGTGTGTGTGTGTGTGTGTGTGTGTGTGTGTGCTGTCCTTTCTTTACTTTACTTTTTTAAGGGCTTTGTCAA